TTATCAATTGTTTTTTTAAAGTATGTGCGCGTATTTTTTAAGTTAGATCTTTTTCTGATACGACGTGAAATTATTACTTTCTTCTATTTTTGTATAGTGTTTATTAATTATTTGAAGGAATAAGAAAAACAATACTAGCGTGTATGTATGAAATTTGTGCAGGTGTTTTAGTACATGTTTGATGCAAAAATCTCGCTAATCCAACTCTATTAAAACCAGAGGATGTCAGATTAGTGGAATGTTTCGATTACTGGATTATAGTGAAAAAATCATAAGATATTGGAAATCGCGGAAAAACTTTTGATTTTCAAAAAGTTGACCATTATTGAAGTGTTGGATTAGCGATATTTTATTTATGTATTTATTTATTTATTCATAATTTATTCTACTGTTTACACGCACACACACACACACACACACATATATATATATATATATATATATATATTTATTTATTTATTCTTGTTATTTCATTAACATGCTTGTCTTTATAGCATTATCTTTATCGCTTTCATTACTTTTTTCTTCATATTTTTTTTTCAAATTGTTTGTTTTTATGTTAAAAAGTATGACATTAATTTATTTTGATAATATAAAATTTAGAAATTGTGTGTAGGCTTATGAATATTTTTATGATTCATTATATAATTTTCCATTTGCTTTTACATACTTGACTAATTATATTAAAAATAACATAGTTTTTACAAAGCATGCGCGTCTTGGCCATACTGGCCGTCATGAAGTTTAGATATTTTCGAAACAAAATCGCCTCGGGTATTTCGTAAAATAATACTACATGAAAATTATTACAACGTGACAATTATTAAAAGTTTGTACCATTTAATCCTTGTATAGTAACTATTAATTATTTTGAAGAACGAAGAAAGAAAGATCATATCTACGTGTGAAATTTGTGCAGGTATTTTACCATTTATGTAGTTGATGCAACTATCTCCAGCCATTCTTCAGTATCTTCATTATCATTCATATCATTTAATATCTTCATTGTATTCACCACTTTTTTGTATTTCATAATTTATTTCTTGATTATATTCATTACTTCATTTTTCATGAATTATTTTTCAATTTGTCTTTATATTAAGGGGAGAGCCTGCTTTAGATAGAGGCTTAAAAAATCGCCTTTTTTCAGTAATTTTTAGGGATAACTTTTTTTTTTTTTTAGGTTCAACTAGAATAGAATTTAATCCTGAATACAATGAATTTTTTCTCGTTTCGATAGGACGTTTAGTTTTTTTCCTGTATTTCCCGCCAATTCGAAGTTTTCGTTCCGCTTGTATACATGGTTGACGCTTGCTCACTATTTCTTCCGTAATTCCGATGATTACTTGAACTTGTTTATGAAATTTTAGAGATATATTCTTGGCTAGTTTTGAAAGACATTTTTGCAATAAAAAAAAACGATTTTCTAAACCTCTAAAGCAGGTTCCCCCCTGAAAAACAATGACTATTAATTTATTTTTATAAGTTTAAAATTTAGAAATTTTGGCTTTAGTTTGTAAAAATATTTCATTAATTTGTATAATTTTTTAATTGTTTCCATATACAAGGCCCATTTTGACCAGAATTAAATACTTTCAACAGTAAAATACTTTCTGTAAATTTTTTTGTAGTATGGTTTCTGTAAAACAGTAGTATTATAAAACAGTAGTATTATAAAACCATAATACTAACACTAAAATTACGTTGCAGATCAATGTGATATGTGTAAGAAATATTATGAAAGAAAGTCATCAGAACACTATACTATATATGATGATGCAGCCCCTCATACTTTTTGTTCAAAAACATGTATGAACGTCTTTATTCTGTCTAATAGACAGATAGTTCCATGCAATTGGTGTAAAGTCAAAAAATACAACTACGACATGATTAGACGAAATTTAAGTTCAGGGCAAAAAATTATGATGTGCTCTTTGAATTGTTTGACACTTTATCAAGTGTCGGTAAATGCTGTTTCCATGAGAAGGTTTGATTTATTTATACTGAAGTTTTTAAATTATTATTCAAATATCATATTTATATCTTTTTTTAGAATAAAATGTGATCATTGCAAGTCTTTATCACAAGCTCAATATCATTTAACTATGTCTGATGCTACAATAAGGAACTTTTGCACATATCAATGTGTTATGTCTTTTCAAGGACAATATTCTAAAATCCAATAACATTAGGAAGCGAGCAGCATAAGACACCTCCTGCGACTTCAATTAAGGGTGCGCCCGTGCCTACTGGTGCTCCCAAACGAACATACAACATAACACGCCAAACAAAAGGTATTGTATATATATTTATTTTAAATAAAAATGTGCAAAAGAACAAAATATATTTAAAAAAACTATTTAGGAGTTGGTACGAAAGCTTCAGCTGCGTCAAAGTCATTTGAAACTCCTATAATTTCAAAAGTTCGATCTCTAGGCACTCCTGTCAATGCACATAACACTCGTGGTTCAGTTAAAAGTACTCATAAACAAGCTCAAATTGTTCAACAAGCTCCACCTCCTGCTCCCGCTCCGGCACCAACACCACCTCCCAAGCCACAATTTAAGACACAATTAATTGTGAAACCTCCACGTCCTAAGCCTATTTCGAACATGTCTACAATGTGTAAACCAATGACCGCATCAAAAGGCACTTCTTGCAAACAGCAAACCATTAACAAGGAATGCCAGACAGATGATAGTTTGCAGAAAAGAATTTTAATACCGGTACCAGTTCCTATATATGTTCCAACTCCTTTGAATATGTACTCTATGCCTTATCCTGTGCCAGTACCCATACCTTTGCCAATTCCAGTCCCAGTGTTCATTCCAACAACTAGAAATTCTGCAAATGGCATCATGAAAGAAATTAAAAAAATCCATGAGAAAATGCCAACTGATCCATTCGAAGCAGAGTTGCTGATGATGGCTGAAATGGTGGCTGGAGAGAAAAAGAGAAGTGAGAGTGATTCGGATTCTGAAGACGATGCACCTGAAGATGATGGATTTAGTCCAGAAGGAATGGAAACTAGTAACACTTTTGGTGAGTATTTAAAGTGCTGTAATTATCTTATATTATATGAAATTGTTACTTTTTAACTTTCCGTAGAGTAAGTTATAGTAATCGCAAAAAAATCGAAAATTTTTATATGTTTTTACGTTTTAAAGGTTTCTGAACATTCTAGCATACCTTAGATAATATGGATGTGTGTGTCTGTATGTGTATGTGTATGTATATGAATGTGTGCGTGCGAATACAAATTTTCGTCGATGATTTCGGGAACACCGATCAACCGATTTGAATAATTTAAAAAACATTCGATTCGTTTCGATAAGAAGACGTGCTGATTAGTTTTTGGCGAAGGCAGGTATAGCTGTTCCGAAGATACGGGGCAAAAAGTGTCGAAAACGGTAACTCGGTTTTTAAGAGAACGGAGCGTCCGATTAATTTAAAAAACATTTTACTTGTAGTGACATGATGAAGAGCTGATTCAATTGTTGGGAAGGCAGGTCCAGCGGTTAAGGACTCTCAATAAAAATAAGTTAAAAAATTTCATTATAATAATACGTATAAATTTTATTTACATTTCTATGGGTTCCTAACATCGCTTGTCCGTTAGACGGCGACGTGCGCTTACGCGCTTCGGTATTTCGTTTCTATGCAGTTAAAGTAGTGCGATTGCTTTGAAAAAAAGTTCAAAATTTCTAAAATATTTCAAAATAAAGAAAACATTTTTTTAAAGTCTTTTCAAAAAAGCCAATTCTTTTCAAAAATCTAAAATTCATCAAAAATCTATTTTTTTCAAAGTTTAAAAGAAATTTTAATCTTTTTTAAATAAATTAATTTTTGGTACGGGAAGTTCCAGTTATTTGCCTTAAGGCACGATACCGTACACCACTAGTTTCACGCCTTATTTCAAGTGACATGGCCCTATTCTTCAGACCCATAGCTATAAAAGTACATAATATTTTGTAAATGTGCAAAAAGCAAATAATGCTAACTCAATATATAACCATACAATCACTATTAATTTATAGTCTTAATTAAAATAATTTTGTTACTATTTCTTAATGTCTTCGTTTATATTTTTAGGTGAAGATATGCTACAAATGGCCTTGAAAATGGCATCGGAATATGATGAACCAGCTGTGGATTTAGAATCTGCGATGACGGCCAGTACAATTACTCCAAGCTCCCATCCTCCAATGTCTAATGAAGAAGGAGTTGATGACCCGAATCCAATGCATCATCATCATATGCTTATGATGGAACAACAAAGAGCCGCTATGCGTGGGAGAAAACGACCTAATCGACCACAGGGTAACAAGTAAGGGATCAGTAATAATTGATGTAACTAGCTGTAAGTGGAATTCTGTCTTAAGGCAATTAGGGCATTGTGCCTTAAGGCAAATTGCTGGAACTTCCCGTACCAAAAATTATTATTTTTTTAAAAACGATTAACATTTTTGAAAAAAATTTACTTTGAAAAAATAAGATTTTTGAGAAACTATAAATTTGACAAAAAATTACTTTTTTTTGAAAAAAAAAATTTTATTTAAATTTTTTTTTTTAAATCTTTTTTTTTGAAAAAAAAAATATTTTCTTTATTTTGACATATGTTGGAAGATCTGAACTTTTTTTCAAAGCAATCGTACTGCTTTAAATGCATAGAGACAAAATATAAAGCGCGTAAGCGCCGCGTCGCTGTCTAACGGGTAAACATTGGTACGGAACCCATAGGAATGTAAACAAAATTTATACTTATTGTTAAAATCTATATAAAATATCTGATAATTTGATGTGCATATGTCTAATGATAATTTTTGATCGCCAAATGGCTTTTTTTTACTTTTTTCGTTATATCTCCGAAACCGCTAAACCTGCCCTTATAAAAATTCGATCAAATCTTCATCTTGTCAATACAAGTAAAATGTTTTTTGAATTATTAAAATCGGACGCTCCGTTCTATTAAAAACTGAGGTACCGTTTTTGGCACTTTTTGCCCCATATCTTCGGAACGGCTAGACCTACCTCCGCCAAAAACTAATCAGCACGTCTCCTTATCAATACGGATCGAATGTTTTTTAAATTATTCAAATTGCTTCATCCGTGTTCCGGAAATCATCGACGAAAATTTGTATCCGCACACACATACATACTACGCACACACACACACACACGCACACACACATACATCCATTTTTTCTAAGGTATGCCAAAATATTCAGAAACCTCTGAAACGTAAAGATATATAAAAATTTTCATTTTCGATTTTTTTGCGATTACTATAACTTACCCTACGGGAAGTTAAAAAATATTGATTAACTAGCAAGTGTAATACTAAAAATTTCTCTCTTTTTTTGACCTGTATTAATTGTGTCGATTAAGAGGATATTTAGTCTAGAAATTTTAAGAAAACGAAAAGTTTGACTATTTAAGAATATGTGTACAAACAGATTTTTCAAGTAAATAATTTCGGAGATATAGCTATTTGACCTCTTCTGTTTCCATAGCATGTGCCAAATACGGTACCTCAGTTTTTAAGAGAACGGAGCGTTCGATTTTAATAATTCAAAAAAAAAATTTTTACTTGTATTGATAAGATGAAGAACTGATTAAATTTTTGGAAAGGCAGGTCTGTCTGTCTAGTCAGGTCTTAATAATGTGTATCAATTTTGTTTACATTTCTATGGGTTGCGTAACATCGTTTGTCCGTTAGACTGTGATGCGGCGTTTACGCGCTTCCATAATTCGTCTTTATGCAGCTAAAGCAGTGCGATTGCTTTGGAAAAAAGTTCAAAATATTTAAAATAATTTTAAATAAAAAAACACATTTTTTCAAAGTTTTTTTTTCCAAGAAAGTTAATTTTTTTTCAAAAATTAAAAATTTCTCAAAAATTAAATTTTTTCAAAGATTAAAACAAAATTTAATTATTTAAAAAAAAAAACTTTTGGTACAAGAAGTTCCAGCTATTTGCCTTAAGGCACGATGCCATACACCACTAATTTTTTTTTAATGCCTTTCAAAAATCACATAAAATATATGCCTCTAGACCAAAAATCTCTTTTAACCCTTTCGACTCGGATGCCGCCGCTCCGGCGGCATAGTCATTTTACCGTTGTGCTCGGATGCCGCCGCTCCGGCGGCATGATATGTTTTACCGTTAAGCTCGGATGCCGCCGCTCCGGCGGCAAATCGTGTCGGCGACGACTCTTCGCAAACTAAACTTACATTTAATTTTTTTTTATTTTTAAAAAATTAATTTACTATTACATTCATTTATTGATTGATTTATTAATTTTATAAATAAATATATAACAAAATTAATTTATTAGCTCATGATCCCCATAATTCTAATAAAGATCTGTGAAGAAATGATTTTTTAAACAATATAGCATGGTTTTGAGTGCAATTTTTTTTAATTTTCAAAATTTTCTATTTTATTATCATAATAACTATATTTAAAAGCAATATTACCACATTTTGAAAAAATCCGATGCAAAAAAAATTCCGAGTTGAGAGATAAGCATAGCACTATAATATTCCGAGCGCAGCGTACCGACTGGCAGTCCGACTCCCGAGTCGAAAGTGTTAAAAGATACATTAAATTTCTATTTATTGTAGTAAGGTAATTATAATAATTTATTTCTATTAGCTTGGGTGTTAATAAGCGTAATCGCCGAGTAAGCAACACTGACGGTCTGCCAATGATGCAACCACCCACTCAACCAGAACCTCCTAGAGAACCCACTGAAAAACCAGATGCAAATATGTGCCTAAAGGTAGTAATAAATATGTTTTATATTACAAAATTTAAAAACATGATATAAGTATTTGAAAGCAATGAAGAGATCATAGTATGCTGTAAATAATACAAAAAAGTAACTATTCACATTCTTAACAGTATACATTTGGTGTCAATGCTTGGAAACAGTGGGTGATGACTAAGAATGCTGATTTGGAGAAAAGTTCTATACGGCGTAAACCTTTTAAGTCAGAGATTCTTCAATTGACCGCTGATGAATTAAATTACTCTTTGTGTTTGTTTGTCAAAGAAGTTCGTAAACCAAACGGCAGTGAATATGCTCCAGATACAATCTATTATCTGGTTTTAGGTAAATTTTGATATAGGGGAAGTACGGACAAAGTGACATGGTGTTTTGTTTTTTAATGACATTTATTTATTTAATTATATTATAATCAGTTTCAATCGTTTTTAGTCATTTTTGATTCATTGACCACCTACTAACAGTCCTTTAATTAATTATTATTAATTAAAATAATTAGAAAAAATTGATGTATGTATGTGTGTGTGTGTGCGGATACAAATGTTCGTCGACGATTTCGGGAACATCGATCAACCGATTTGAATAATTAAAAAAAAACATTCGATTTGTATTGATAAGGAGACTCATAAAAAAACATTTTACTCGTATTGACAGGATGACCAATTTTATTTTTATTTGAAAATGTCTAGAATTGTGAATTCTCTTCAAACATTGTGAAGAGCTGTTTAAATTTTTGGGAAGAGGCAGGTTAGCGGTTTCGGAGATCTAGTAAAAAAAAGTAAAAAAATGCCATTTGGCGGTCAAAAATGATCATTAGACATAGGCACATCAAATTATCAGATATTTTATGCAGATTTAAATAATATGTATATATTTTGTTCACATTTCTATGAGTTCCGTAACATCGTCTGCCGTTAGTCGGCGACGCGGCGTTTACGCGCTTCGATATTTCGTCTCTATGTAGCTAAAGCAGTGCGATTGCTTTGAGAAAAGTTCAAAATTTCTCAAATATTTCAAAATTAAAGAAAACATTTTTTTTCCAAAAAAGTAAATTTTTTTTCAAAATCAAAAATCAAATTCAATCAATGTTTAAAAAATATTTTAATCTTGTTTAAAAAATTTAATTTTTGTTACGGGAAGTTACAGCAATTTGCCTTAAGACACAATGCCATTTAGTCATTTTTGGTTTAGCCAATTTTTAAATAAGGCCGCCGTGTCATTTTGTTCATATATACCATGTTGTCTGTTTTCCCCCTACATATATAAACAAAGATGATAAAATAATGAAAATAATTTCTTAAATAGGTATTCAACAATATCTCTTTGAAAATGGAAGAATAGATAATATTTTCACTGATGCATATTATGAGAAGTTCACTGAATGTTTAGATGAAGTTGCTAAAAAGTTTTCTGTTTTATATAATGATTCACGTAAGTCTGATGTATGAATATAAAACTTAGGAATTGATAAGACTAATTAAAACATATTTTCAGAATATATTGTCACTAGAGTTGAGGAGGAGCACTTATGGGAATCTAAACAACTTGGTGCTCATTCACCGCACGTGTTGCTTAGTACACTTATGTTCTTTAACACTAAACATTTCAATTTAGTAGTAAGTATAAAAATACTTTTGTTGTATATAAATACATGGGGATTGTAACTTATTTTTTATATATTTATAACATTCATTGTAATCTAAATTTTCATTAACAGACTGTAGAAGAACATATGCAGTTGTCATTTTCTCATATTATGAAACATTGGAAGCGTAATCCTAATCAACCTGGTGCAACTAAAGTTCCTGGTTCTCGCAATGTGTTACTAAGATTCTACCCACCTCAATCAGCATTAGGTATACTATTAAGTTCTTTGTGGCAATCTCTTAGTAATGAATTTTTTCTTAGTTAAGGAGGTATTCTGGTCAGAGGTCAGAAAAAAATCCGAAAAAAAAATAAAATCCTCTTATACACATATTCTTGAATAGTTAAACTTTGAAAAAATATATATAAATAAAAAAACAAAATTGATTTTGTAACATTACTAGACCAGAATATTCTCTTAAATACTTCATGTTTGTCATTAGTTTTTTTAAATAGTTTATATTATTAATTATCTTATTATTATTAGATGCTAACTCTCGCAAAAAGAAAGTTTATGAACAACAAGAAAATGAAGAAAATCCACTTCGATGTCCAGTAAAACTTTATGAATTTTATTTATCTAAATGGTAACTAAAAGTATCTAATGTTTTAGTATCATGTGATACAACAACGAAATCAATTTCATTTCTTTTTAGCCCTGAAAGTGTGAAGACCAGAAATGATGTATTTTATTTGTTGCCAGAAAGGTCTTGTGTGCCTGACAGTCCTGTCTGGTATTCGACAATGGCTTTAGGAAAAGAACCGCTGCAAAAAATGCTTCACAGAGTTAAAATGGTGAAAGAAATCAATATCGCCCTGTTAACAAGTTAAAACATTAGGTTTATTACTTAAATTATATATATGCAATAGAAATTGTCAAAAATATAATTTTGTTACCATTATTTTTTATGATTTAATGTGAAATTATAATATTGATTTATTTTTTATTATTTGGCAAAAATTGTTAGTCTAATTTTTTAAATGTTGCGACGTCGACGAAATTAAATTAAATTCCAATGGCTTTAAGTTTTAAATTTTTTTTAAATGTAAAGCAATTGATATAAAATTAAGTTTTAAAATTATATGATTGATTTTTATCAATGGATTTTTTACGATTATGAATAAGAATTTTATGGTTAAATTGAATTATTTCTATACTAATGACAGAACATACATTACAAATAAGAGAAACTGTATGTTGTAAAATTTGTATTGTTTAATCAAGATTACAGCTATTAATCTAATATGAGAATTTTATAACATTCTTTATATTCAACACAATACAAGAGTTTGTTGATAACAAGTCAACTAATTTGTAATTGTTTGACTATCATAAGTGCAAAATTTTTGACGGAGTCCTGTCTTATAAATTTGTTGGACAGATTTAATTGTAAATATTGTTTTAGTACTTTTGCGTTTAAGAGCAAATAATGAATAGCATCTAGAATCTGTATTATATACTGTAATTTTAATGTCGACTAGCCATAATCAAAATCATAAATTGCTTCAAATGGAAATATATATTTGCGTTTTACGTATATGATGTAAAAGGGATTTTATAATAGAATATGTGTGCCTGTATGTGCATAACTTGTTTGGCGACTGAGTGTTATAACCTCTAACCCGTGTATTAAAATTTAGCTATATATTATTGATTGTCTTATATTTTAGATATAAATTTTGCTAAATAAACCTATCAAATATATATGAACCATGTTATTAATGAAATTGAATAAAATGCTATGTTTAGGTATGATTTGTTACCACAATATAGTAATACCCCACTCAACGCTACATTGCTTAGAGCAGTTTTGGTTTAGGGTCGTCTCTTATTTTAGCTTGCGGATGGGTGAAATTCTAGTTAAAATAGTTGAAGAAACTGCAGCTAGTGGAAAATAATACAGATTTTTGACAAGAATTTGAAAGCATGATTGGAAAATGTTATAGATGATTACCATATTAACCACTTATTACCTGTTTGGTAAGCAGATTGTGTTTTCTTTTTTTTTTTTTTTTTTTTCAATTTTCTATACATCTTTCTCTAACCCCATTATTTGCATGTTAACACATTCACTGGTGCGTACTCATATGTTGACCGTGAGACCGTTTGCTTTCCTTGCATTTTAAAATAGTGTTTTCAATAAAATGTTTGAATTGAAATCCCATTCCATTTTGATACATTTTTTTAATTCCTAGTTAGGTGGCGTTCATTAATCACGTGAAGTTTTTAGGGAGATAAAAAATCACGAAATATCACGTGGGGGAGGAAAGGGTATAGGAAGATATTTTTTTACCTGAAATTAAAAAAAATCTAAAAATTTGAAAAAAATAAAAAAATGTACAATTTTTCTCGTAACTAAAAATACACCTGATGTTTGGTGGGGGTCGCCCCCTGTCCATTAATCACGTGATCGATTTTTTAAGGATTTTTGGACCTTTACGTCTCCTTGGTGATACGTGGTGATATTCAAAATTACGCCCCTCCCTGACTAAGTTTCACGTGCATTTTTAGTTACGAGATTTTTTTTAATTTTTTTTTTTTTTTTTTTTGAAAATGTTTGGATTTTTTTTAAATTCAACATATTTCGTGATTTTTTATAAAACTACCCTTCTCCCCCTAAAAACTTCACGTGATTAATGAGGACGCCCCCTTAACATGTTCAGAAATGGTTTTATTTTATATTAAACGAATAAGAAGTTTAGCGTAGGGAGAAGTACGGGCAAAACAAGGTTGGCTGTAAATGTGTTAAGATTTCCCCGTTTAGCGCTGTTTTGCTTTACGTTCTATTTTGATGGAACGTGACTCGTTAAGCAGGGCGTTACTTCAGTTTTTGAAGTTATGTCGAAAAACTTCATACGACAGGTAAATTATTGATTGTATTAGAAAAAGTGAGATAAAGTGATTAGAGTGAAACCGATAAAAAAACCTGATTGATTTTCAAGATTGCATTTGTTTTTAACCCTTTGCACTCGCGAATTGCGAGATTTATATGTATTTTGTCGCCGGAGCGGCGGCATCCGAGTCGAAAGGGTTAGATATGTAAAGTTTATACCGAGCATAGTGAGTAGTCAAAATGATTAAGCGCCAGACTTGCATTGGAAGGGTACTCAAATCGAAAACCATTCGAGTACTGTAAAATAAGAAAAATGAATTTCACTCGAAAATTGTCGAATGTAAGATGTTAGTACAAATTTAGAGATTCAGTAGAAACTCGATTAACCAGACTAATTGTTGTCGATAGGCATTCGGATAATCGAATGTATGAAAAATAATGATGTGTATTTATCAAAAAATAACAAATGCATACATATACAGATCAACGAAATTAATGTTTATTAGGAAAATTGAAACTTCTTTATCTACATATATATTTTCTTAGATTACATTACATAGTTACATACGTATACTAAACTGCAGCATTAATTATGCAAAAACTCAAATTGCAAGTATGTATATACATAAAATTGGTCGCGGTTGTTAGTCCGGATCATTGCCAATCCGTATAACAGAGGGCCGGATAAACAAGGTTCTAAACAAACATAATTTTATGAAATGTATATGGTTAAATGCTAAAATTCAAAGGCCAATGGAACTTAGTAGAAAAAACTAGTCAGTTTCTTTCGGATCGTTTAGTCGTCTCTCGGCGTTCGGCGCGGTACAATATCGTCCTCGGCTTGTTTTCGTTTTTTTGTCATAGACCACGTGCTATTAAAGGTTGAATTATTACCATTTGTTTGTTTTGTGTTCCAGACCAAATGTGCATCGAATTGTTTTGTCCTTTATCAGTGATTTGAGTTTTTATAACTATGTTTACAACGAAGAAATAATGTGGTGGTTTGTTTTGATGTTAAAAGGATTGTTTTCTGCCTCTGATGTAAGAGGTCCTTTGGTGTGTTGACTGGTTATACAGTGCAACTCATAAAATATAGGACTAAAATTAAGAAACAGTGATTGTGGTGAATACTATATATTTTGTGATTAACTGTTAAATTGTGAAATGTTTCATTTTTTTTTATTATTATTATTTTTTAGCGCAGATACAGCACACGAAATTCCAATTGGAAAAACACCGGTAACTCGGAGTGAAATTTGGAACTATAATGGTTTTTATGTGAAGTTAATATCATCAGATAAACAAGAGGAAAATCTAGGACTTATGACCTCGGACCTCAAGGTAAATTGCTGGAAATTCTTGATTTATAAATGAATGTTATATAAGAAATATAATCAATAAACAAAAATTTTGCATATCAAACTTATTAAGATTTGAAAAACATTTGGAAATAATTATTTACGATTTTAATTACTAATTAAATAAATAATCAAATATAGAAAATTTATATATCAAAAATGTCTTGTATTGTCGTTTCTAATAAGATGCTCATGAGATTCTAACGAATATTTACTAGTGAACAGTCATTTTACTTTCAACCGACTATTTTTGTTGTTAAAACTATCGTTGCATGGCATAATGCCTTAAGGCAAAGCTGGAACTTCCCTTGACGAAAATTTAAAATTTAAAAAAGGCATTGAAATATTTTGAAAACGTTGAAAAAATTAGATCTCTGAAAATTTTGAATATTTAGAATTTAATAAAAAGACCTTTGAATCATTCAAATAGGACGCTTCGTTATCTCAAAAACAGTATTACCATTTTTGTAACTTATTGTCCCGTATCTAAGAAACGGCTGGAACTGCCTCAGCCTAAAACTAATCAGCACGTCTCCTTATCAATACGAATTGAATGTTTTTTGAAATTGGTTGATCCGTCTTCTCGAAATCGTCGACACATATTTACAAACACACACATGCATAATTTTTTCTAAGGTATGCCAAAATGTTCAGAAACCTTTGAAACGTAAAGAATAATAAAAAATACATTTTCGACTACTATAACTACCCTACGGGAATTTAGTTAACATTTTTATAACACATTACACAATCCATTTTGCAAGAATCAGATATAAAAGATTTTTATTACTTTATAACACTTTTAATTTATTTAAATGCAACTAATAAAGTTTATTACATATAGATTTGATATATTTTCATATATTGATTATTTATAATTTCATTTTTTCTCTATTAAAGTGCTATGAATTAAAAATCGTCTAATAACCGGTTTTAGAAATTTTCTAAATTTTTAATCTCAATGTAATATTTAAATAAAATATATTTTTAAAAAATGTTATACATTTGCTTATATTATATTTAAGAACTTTGACTGTGCATCCATGATTGTGTTTAACTCAACCCGGACCTGATTGTGTTTAACTCAACTTTTGAATCGGTGCCGAGCGCAAAGGGTTAAAATATGTAACGAAAAAGTAAACATGTAAGTGAAGAGTAAAATGCATGTATGAACAAAATTTTCAATAGTATAAATGTACAAAATTTGTTCACCCCTTTTGTGAACGCATCTGTAAAATTATATGTTTTAATTAACCGTAATGTATGTCATAGTAATCGCAATTGTATATCTTTACGTTTTAAAGGTTCCTGAACATTTTGGCATACTTTAGAAAAAATCGATGTATGTGGGTGTGTATATATATGTGTGGGCATGTGAATGTGTAGATACAAATTTTCGTCGACAATTTTGGGAACACGGATCAATCGATTTGATTAATTCAACTAGTAATGGATGGAATCGTGTTTTAAGGCAAATTGCTGGAACTTGCCGTACTAAAAATTATTTTTTTTTTGGAAATTTTGAACTTTTTTGCAAAGCAATCGCGCTACTCTAGCTGCGTAGAGAGAAAATATCAAAGCGCGTGGGCGTCGCGTCGTAGTATTAAGAATAAACATTGGTATAAACAATAAATAATATACAAACGTAAAAAACATGTTTTTATTATTAAAATCTCTATGAAACATCTGATAATTTGATGTGCATATGT